GACCCACCGATGTGTAGCCATTGTGACATTCAAGTCACAATAGCCCACGTTTTACTGTCGTGCTGTCGTTACGACCGTGAGCGGCGGCACCATTTTAGACACATTTTTTCTAAAAGTTTACCCCTGACGCTGGACAGTGTCATTGGTAATGGTGACACTGTCCGATTAGATTGTATTTTTAATTTTTTACACATTATAGGTATTTTTAATTCTATATAAATCTTTTACCGACATGTATTGATTTTAACTCGATGTTTTTTTACATTTTACTTTAATCTACTTTCATTGCTTTTACCGGTCGTTTGGCGCAGATAGCCTAGCTGCTTTGCGCCATAAAACACCAACCAACCAACCAGAAGTTATGGATAATGAAATCTCAATTTTTATAAAGTATACACAAGTCATTCCCACAAACTTTACATGTTATCAAATATTATTAATTTATTATACATTATTGTAATAGTGTACTACCTACAATAAATCGTAAGGAGCTTACGTAATTGTAGTATTAAATTTTAACACTGTCCCACTAACACAGCGAGTATAGCGTTTAATATTCGCATAGACTCCATTTTGTCATCACTGTTGACAATTCTGTCCAAAAATGGTTGAGATGAGATGGAGCAACGTTCACACGTTGGAAAGATGATTATCGGAGAGTTCGTGAGGCACCCAAACACCTTTTTTTTTTTATGGAATTTTCCCATATTTCTTAGATGTTTACGTATTGTTTCATGAGAGATATGCAATTTCAGGGCCACTTCACGAGGTTAGACTCAACAAGCGTCTTCAGAGCATCAATATCAATTCAAACATGTCGGCTTCTGCCATCACAGTTTTTAAAGTTAAAGTCACCTGAACGAAATTTGCTGAACCATCTTGACACTTACGAACGTTCAAAACATTTCCACAAACTTCTTTGATATTCTCTGTGGCTACAGAGGCGTTGTTTCCCTTCAAACAGCATTACATGCCGAAAGTGTGTCTCGTCGTGTGCCATCTCTATAAAGGATTAGAGAATCTTTTTTTTTTTTTTTTTTTTTTTTTTATTTTGCGAGTTATGGGGGAAGGATTAGAGTATACTAAACTTTACTTATTATATAGGCTACACTGACGTGACGTTCAGGCGGTTCTTTTAACTATTATACATGATGTACGTTTTTTGGGGGGTGGTTAATGAAAGTGTTCCAAAACACGACATTAATTTCTTGACAACCTAATAGTTTAGGGGAAGAGATCGTATGAACTGGTTCAGATGTTAGAGTTTATTGCAAACAAAATGAATCTGTTTGGACCTCAAAATCTACAACAGGGAGGAAGCGATGTAGAAGCAGTATTAAAGTGAAAGGAGCCTTTATCTTATTCGCTACTTGTTTGTGCTGTACGATAGTCTCAGTATATTATGTGTAAATTCATAAAAATATCAAACTTGCATTTTATGTATAATATTTAGGGTGTTAGGTCACTCAGAATGGAGATTTATCAAATAATTGTGTCCAATGCCATACAATGGAAAACTACGTTAACTTTTCATTTTGTGGTCATTCTCGAGAATTGTCATTTTGAAACACCATACTTCACCAAAAATATGGCAAGAGAAATTTGCGATTTGTAAAAGATAAAACTTCTCTTACCAAAACAATATAATTTGTTTTGTTTTTATTTTAATATTGTTGTCTACGCTTTGTATCTGGTAAGCCAGAAAAGGCAATCGAGTGAAACTTCATTCACACCCGAGTCAAATTGTATCAACTGGGTAATTAAAACCATTACCTTTGTTTATTTCAAAACCACCAAATATTTTCCCCTGGTTGTTTAAGAGCTTTTAATTCTTCTTTAGAAATATTTAATTCCCTTCTATATGCATGAAAAGCAGTTATCGCTATACCAGAAATTGTATTGACTATGCTATCAAAAGTTCTTTTTCTCCCCTCATGGAAAGGGTCGTTTTTCAATAACCTCAATGATTTTTCCAAATTTAAAAAAACATTCATAAAATTGGAACTAATAAAATAAACATTTCGTTTACACCTGCTAAATGCAAGTACGTAAATAAAACAGAAAGAGACTGCAGAAAGTCAGCTTTCTATTCTTCAGCAATGTTTCCTCTAAACATCAAGTGTACATCTATGTTTATTTATATACAATCCTTTATTTGCAAACAAATGATACCTATTACCTATTATCACTTGTGATTTTATCTAATACTTGTTGAAAATAATAAAAGTTATTTACCATGTGATAATCTCTGTGCACTAAAGTAATAGTTAAATTTATTTTGTAGCTATTAGATGTAAAGTTACTTACATGACTGTATATGTTGGTTTATGATAAATGCCTACATCCAGATATTTGCCACGATTATTAATTTCTAAGTCTGGAAATGGTAATCTTGAATCATTTTCTTCCTCAATAGTAAATCTTATACAAGGGAGCTGGTTATTCAGATAGCCTAAAAAATGTTTTTCGTGCTCTTTTTTTCCTAAAAATGCCAAGCTTATAATCCACATATCGATTATGATTAATTGGTTTAAAGATGTTAGGACAATTATTTAGCCATTGTCTTTCGTAATAATAATAAAAAAGAAAAAAGATTAGCCAAGCTCGGTGCTAAATTAGGTCCCACAGCTACACCATCAACTTAATCATTGTTGGAACTATTAAAAACGAAATATGGCTTTTTAGTGGCATATTCTAACATTTTGTAAACACCGATTTCATCAATCCCTGAATTACTGCGTCATTTTCAAAAACACTGTCCACCGTTAACTGAATAACACCATTTAGAGGAGTGTTGCCATGCAAAGAAACAATGTCAAAGCTAGCAAAACAAATGTCTTCATAGAATCATAATTTTGTTAATTCTTCAGATATTTCAAAATTATTTTTTACCGTGTATTCACCTTTAGTATATTCTACCAGGAAATTATTCACGAAATCAGCAAGTCTAAGGTTATATGTACCAATGTTAGAAACTATTGGCATTAGTTAAACCATACAAAATATCACAATGAGTATCAAAGGGTCTAATGTCTTTATACGTTTTATTGTCCATCACATTCTTTTTTCTCAATTATAAAATATACCTTTGTAATTGCTCTCTCTCTCTCTCTCTCCCTTTTCTTGGTAGAATCAAACTTTAATTTCTTAAATTTTTTGTCTTCAAACAAAACATCTAACAACCTATTAACATTAATCCCTCTTATTAAGGAGAACAATTCCATTACCTTTGTTTGTAGATAGCCCTGTTGCTTTGCGCCAATAAACGACAACCAACCAACTTTTGTTTGTTTTCATAACCACCAATTTTTTGTTTAAGGGTTTTTAATTCTTCTTTGGAAATATTTAATTCTCTTCTGCATGCATGAAAATCAGTTATCGCTATACCAGAAATTTTATTGACTATGCTATCAAAGGTTCTTCTAGCACACTCTCATAGATATAGTCGTTTTTCAATAACCTAAATAATTTTTCAAAATTTAAAAACATTCATAAAATTGGATTGTTTTTGCAACATATCAAACATTAAACCCTTCGATAATATTTGCTTTTCAGTCTGATTCAACTCAGAGTACCTCTAAACTCCAACCAATCAACTCAGAGTAGTTGAAAATCACACTGTCCACTTCTTCAAATAATGTTTTAACCATATATTCTTTCCTTTTCAAATTATTGTTTGTTTGTTTTTTTCAAATGACCAAGTCTCGTTTCTTTTCAAATATGATTATTATACTTTTCTATATCGGATATGCATAAAGATATTATATTTCTTAGTTCATTTTTTAAATAAATTTTGTTTTCCTTCTTTTTAAGTTCAATCTCTTTACATAAAAAATCTTATTGCGCTTTAACTATTGTACAAACTATTTTGTTTCAATTTTCGATTATAAATTTTAAAGTTATAGGAAGTTTGGTATTAATTTTAAGTTATTACATTCATTTAAAAAGTCAAAAGAGAGGAGAGTACTTTTATTTAAAATTGTGTTCTATTATAAAGAAATGGTTGTTGCACATATCAAGTTATTTTTCTAATTGTCTGAATCTTGAAAACCCAGAATGTGGATTTTGGTTATGGATTTGTGTTTGTGGTGCCATTCAATAGATCGCGAAGGAGTTTTAGTTACATACATAGATACTGACAAACAAGCTACGTCCATTATAGTAAGATGAATTTTTAAGTAAGCTTTCTCCCACTTACGAAATACTTCAAAACAACATTTGTTTTATCTCTTCCTTATTAAATCCGCAACAGACAAAGTGATTTTTACGAATTATAAAAATAAAAAAGTTAAAATTAAGGAAAGACAGTATTACATTATCTTTAATTAAATGTCATATGTTAGCCCTTTCCAGAATTTATCCAACAAGGATAAAACATTTATTCAAAAAAATAATTTAGACAAAGCAGAATCTCCAATGGTACGTCTCCGCATAGTCAAAACGCGAAGCCTAATTAATATAATGTTTTACTTTTTATATAATACTAATAGTATTGACCAGTACATTAGTCAACCTACAGTACCAAAATGGTTTTATATGAAGTAAAGAAATTAATGATAAAAATCATAATTCAGTTTATACCATGATAAATCAGAAAAAAAAAAACATATAAAAAATAGAAGAAAAGCAACTTATTGTTAAAACCACCTGAACTCGTTCTTTAACAACTCAACAAGTAACAAAAAAAATACACCCAATTTTTGTACTAAGGTTTTTATACGATTCGGTTAATCTTACCATTTGTTGATGCATCCATTCCTCTTAGTCTTGTTTCCTCACTCGTTTTAACCGTCTCTTCAAAAAGTATGTCTTGTGTTTTCGACCTCCAGAGCTCGCATACAACACAAGGTGCACTACATATACTCTGCATAGAGTACTGCCTATCATTGTCCGATAGTGTAACCAACTTTGTCAATCGGGGAGGGGAGGCATGACGCCTCTTAAATATTGAAAGATGCATATATGTAATGCTTACTTTTTCACCTTAATGTTGGCACCACTCATGGGGTCAAACAGCTGGATCGAATTCTCTAATCTCCTGGTCACCTGGTGTATTCGTCCAGTCAACAAACACAAAGGCGCCAGTCTGGAATGGTCACTTCCTTCCTGTTAGTTTATTGATACACGAGACGACCTAAGGGGTGGAGGGGAAAGTTTCACGTTCTCTTACATCAAGAAGGCGACACAGAAAACAAACTAAAGACGTGTCAGTACGTGTTTTTCGCAGCCTGCATATTTCTGTTACTGAAGATGCAACTAAGACATTTAATATCTATAAGCGGAAAATATCAAATTTTTCTGTAACATATAACACAAGATAAATAAATAAATAGTAGAAGCTCTTTATTTTGTCTATTTCCATTTTATTTTTTACAAAGTATAATTATTGGATCTTAATGTACGTCTTTATGTGGATTTCCGAGTTAAAAATTTGCCTTACTTTCATTTTTATTCGCGTCACACACACATATGATTATTGTACATAATTTTAATTAATATTATGATGGGTTTATTGGTACTGGAAATGGATTGTAGAGTCATCAGAAAAATTATATACATTTTATTTATAAGAATTTTGTCATTTATATGTTCTTACGACTTACATAAAATCGGCAATTAACTAGATATTTTATTATATATATATAGAAGGTTTTGTGTTTAAGTGGACAAGTGTATTCGTATATCCGATGACATTTATGCGATCATTGTGATATATTACATATTTGTAATTTAATTGGATAACAGCATTTAGACTTGTAATGTTTATGAGCAAACTTATTCAACAAATTGTGTAAATTTACAAAAACAAACAAAAGAGCAGGAACGTGAAGAAAAGTTTAAGATTTCGCAAAATATGCCAGTGCAGCAGAAAAAGAAAAAACTGGTTTCCAACATCACATCGTTGGAGTCAAAATTCTACAGTTTGGTTTGTTTTGAATTTCGCAAGCATCTTGAGAGCTATCTGCGCTAGCTGTCCATAATTTAGTGGTGATATACTACAAGGAAGGCAACTAGTCAACACCACCCATCGCCAACCCTTGGTCTACTCTTTTAACAACAAATAGGGGGATTGATCATCCTCTTATAACACCTTCACGGCTAAAAGGGCGAACATGTTCGGTGTGACGGGGATGCGAACCTTCGCCCTGCAGATCCCGAGTTGAGCGTCCTAACCACTAGGTAGGTCATGCCAGACCCAAAATGCTACACCCACACCATTCTTAATAATTCTGTTCTTTATTCTTAACCGTATAAAGAAAAGAGTATTCCTTATATTATACAAATCGTTATCCGACGGTGAAGCCCCCAGTGGCACGGCACCAAGAAACCGGGTTTCGATACCTGTGGTGGAAGAGCACAGATAGCCCTTTGTGTAGCTTTGTGTTTGACAACCAACAACAACCGAAGGTGAATAAAATGTCAATGTACAATGTCGACTTGCTCTGCGTTTAAAATAACATTTGTGCAGTTATATTGAAATAATTGTATATCTATTAATGATGAAAGTAATTTTCTAATAACTATTTTCATTACTCGTGCGTAAAATCATGAAAACTATATTTAGCAAAAGAAAAAAAAACAGCTCGAAACTTGATAAGAAAACAAGCTTTTAAAACTTACTAAGACGTCAGAGATCTGATATGTTGCATTTTCAATCTAAACAACATCTTATGCGATACATGGGCTAAGTGGCCAAGTCAGAGACTTCAAAGTTCAGAAATAGCTGTCACTACTTTTAAACTGTTGACCCAGTCGAGGGAAACCAGTTAACTGCACTCGCCGCCTACACGACTACTCTTAGGTGAATGGCGGAATTAAATGTTTCTTCTTTATATCGCACTAACAGCTGAAAGTGTTATATCATAAGCTCGAACAATGGATCTTATGATAAGCAGTCGGCATGCTAAAGATTAGGCCAGGTCCAGCCCGATTTGAAGAAATCTTGCCCCAACACAAAAAGCAGCATTATAATGGGAATTGGCCCGGCATGGCCAGGTGGTTAGGGTGGTCGACTCGCAATCTGTGGGTCGCGGGTTCGAATCCCCGTCACACCAAACATGCTCGTCCTTTC